CAAAATCACGTACATGTGGTGCTAGTTTGGAGCTATATTTTAATGAACAAGAAAATACAAATTTGAAAAAATTAATGTAAACTAGATAATTGATTGCAAAATCTAATGTGATTTCAATACACATACATATCTTCTTCGGGGCCTGCAGGTATCAGTGAACGCACTTTACGCGCCAAAACATAAACATCTACATCGTCTGATCCGTCAGGAAATTCCATTAAAGGATCATCATTGTCAATACTGTTACTGCCACCACAAGTATGATGTTGGTGAATATAGTTTTCATAATCCACAGGTTCCACAATCGTAGGTATGATTGTATCTACTCTGGTAGGAATATTTTGATCGCTGTTCGTTGGAATCGTATGCGAATTATAAGACGCAGAATCTTCTGACAATTTAGGAGACGAGTTGACACTAAAAATCAAAACCGCATCCGTGTTTAATGGCTTTCAAATAAAAACTCAACACTAGTACTCTACATACTTGCTGCTGGTAAGTTTTTGAGCAAACGCTCGTTGCATCTGGGACACCATGAGTAAAAGTACGTACTAATGACGATGTATTAAACTCGGGAAGAGCGCCATAGTATGTATTCTTATTATACAAATATCGAGAACCATAAAACGCCGATATCTGAACGAAATACAGTCCTACACTAAACGCCTGTCGTTTCTTGTTAACACATTGCGGTCTGAAAATGAACGATTTTTCAACTTGACCGGGAAAATAAAACGATCAAAACACAATGAAAATTAATAATTTTAATCACATCGTGTGTCGAAAACAATGCAAAACGGATGAATTATTAAAACGATCGCCGTCCACGGACGTTTAAATCACATAATATACATATTATAATAATTATTGTAAATTATTATTGTTGTCAATGTTGTCGTCAATATCACGACATGCATACAAAAATGATAAAGTGTTACGAGTATCGTCAAAACAATAATAATAATAATAATAATAATTGATAATGTATTATTACGAACATCGTCATAACAACAATCGATATAACTATTGTTATAATACAACAATTTTTCTAGTGGTTGGTTGGTTGGTGCTGTGGAGGTGAAACATTTATGTGCAACATATTTTATACTCGAAACGATATTAACATAACCAGTAACCACAAGACAATAATAAATAATAATATATCGATATGCTCGGTGTAGTGATTGGCGTTTCGTCCGACTGTCGTCGGAATAACGACGGTTCGCAGTACCTACATTGATTTACCACGCGTACAGGACGTGCCCCTCTAATCCGCTTTACAGTCGTACGCCGTCTACTTTTCTGTATTCGTGTTACTCTACTCAAACCTCAATAGTCGGTAATCTTTCCAACCAAACTCGTTTTTCAATAATACGATTTCGAATACTACAAGACATGACATCACGGTGTATAGGTAACCCCGTCGGTGGAGGGAGGGATCTGGGCCATGGCACTAGCAAAACACGACATCATATTTTCATCTGATCGTCCGAGTCTGTATCTCTGACACAGTAACACTATTTTATTTTTTTTTTATTGAGTGTCTCCAAGCCCAACGATTGACAATTATTGCATCTAGTCACGCAGGCTATAGGCCCTATAGGGCATCAAAAAGTTATGATGTACACAAAACTAACTGCGCCTACCTGAAAAATTTAAAATAAAATAAACCAATTTACAAACATTAGGTAGACCGTAAGTGTTAACCAGATACAACATTTTTTTTTTTTTTTTTTTACCGACAAGTTTTAAATTGACTTCTATTGTAAAGGACATGGGGAGCCCGAAACCCCACCTCATCTACGTACCTCAATAAAACTAAATTTAAATTTGAGTTTCAAAACGATTTAATTTTAACATTACAAATCTGAATACCTCCTATTTCGTTAATTAAGCCGAGTGATCTATGACGCGATTCGTATTCACTCGTTGCTGGAAACAAAACGTGATGATTACACTTTAATCGGTAATCTATGCGATTTACACAAAACGTTTACATCGCATACTTTTTTTTTTTTAATAATTTCCGTTCATCGTGGTACACTTGTACTAACATAGTTATTGCGTTGTAGACAGGGCTTAGAAGTTGTTGGATTTACATGTGTTTTTGGTCTGATAGATTTATTGCTAAGTAAACTTGAAATTAAATTCACAACACTGCGAAAAAAAAAATATTAAAAATTTATAGTGCAATTTTTGCATATTAAATTATTTTGTAGTTTTAAAAGCATATTTTAAATTTTACAATTTTTTTAGAGCACATTTTATGATTAATGATATGTTTATAATATTATTTGAAAATTTGACAAAAAAATAAATAAATAAATAATTTGTAGTGTACTTATGTATAGGTATTTATTTTGAGTATTTCATTGGATATTATTACATCGTATTTTTTCAAATCCCCAGTTGACTTACAATCTTAAGTTTTTATAAATAAATATTTACTACAAATTATAAAATATTTGTATTTATAAAAACTGTTAATACAAAAAGAATAAGCTAGTGTATATTTTTAAACCATATTTGTACTAGGTATTATAAATGTATACATATTTAGTACTTATTAAGTACATTGAGCCATGGTTATAGACTATAGAGTATAGACATAAGATAATAATATGTAGTATAGTATTTTATTTTCTATAATTAAAAAATAATATATGTATACTTTATTCCGGCATATATTTAGTGTAAATTTAATGTTCTAAATTTATTTTATATCAATACATAAATATATTAATTATAAGTCATATAACCAACGACATAATAAGATTCTATAATGTATTAAGTTTTAAAATAACCAAATAAATACCTATTCAATATATTATATAAGTTATTTAGTTATAACATTAAAGTATCATTCACTCTTTTAATGAATAATCGTCTTAATCATAATCCTCCGTCTACTTTAAAATTTGAATATACTAAAATTAATTCTTAAATACTTCATTGCATACTGTTGTATTTAATTACATTCTCTTTTTCGTGCTCATAATTACTCTAACCATTTTTTACTTTTTTAATGTCATTTCGGTAAATGTGAGTTCACTTTCATTTATAATTCTCAATTCTTGTAAATTGTAAGTACTTACTTACGACTTATTTATTTTTTAAATAATATAAAAAAATAAAAATAGTTCATACAATAAAACACAAGCCGCCAAACCTGTAAAAGTATAGAATCAAATAAATAAAAAATAAGCTCCTAATGCCTAACAAAATATGCTCTTAATAAGCAGCAATGGACATTGGCTAACTAGACACCTACTATATAAATTTAAAAAGTAAATAGTACAGTTAATTGTTTTATTTTAAATATTATATACTAACTTATTATCAGTTATCACTTATCACTGTATGTTGCTGTTGAAAATTAATATCTATTTGGAGGAAGCAACGAATTCTTACCTTTCAATCAAAATAATTTCTAGTATGAAACTAGTATAATAATGTCAAATAATGTCAACATTATTTACAATGTACCTTAATTATTATATATAGTGCATTTTTCACGAAACTAACATTCACATAAAAATTATATTTCTATTTAATAATTATTATTAAAAAAACCAGTATTAAATTCTTGAAAATCAACAAACCATTATAAGTCTTTATCAGTGAAGTATGAAATCAAAAATTCTAATTTTATTTTTTAAAGACTAATAAATAACGCATGTTTTATACTAAAATACTTAAAATAAATCCATTATTAAAAAAAATATATCTTTAGCAAACCTGAGTATTTTACTCCTTATGTCCGATACGTAATATTGATATAATGGATAATGAATCCGATGATTGAATAGTTGATACTCACTTTCGTCACCATTATTCTTATTGTAGAATATTATCTACCACTCTTACTAAAAATCTATTGCATTATACCTTAATGAGTTAACTTAAATTGAAATTATAATACCGTAAGACCTTGCTAGTCATACTTAGATGGTACCAGGTTAGTAAGATTAAAGGTATTCGTTGAATCTTCATCATAAATTTAACCATAAAAAAGAAACAATTTATTATTATATAATGCAAAAATGTATGAATGTTTATTTAATTTATAATATATAAATACTATTAGCATTTTCTTATCATAAATATATTGTGGGTTTCCAAACCACATAGGTTATTTTGTATATTAATAAAGTCCAATTCATAAATGACAATACTCACATGTCAGAATGAGGAAGGTGAAAATGTCAGACATTACTGGAATTATCCGACTAGCGAGATCTTACTATACTGTTGTAAATATATAAAATAATAGAATAAGATATACAAAAAAAATATACTTTGTATAAGAGAGTTAATAGTAGATTGTGTTTAATTTTGTGTTTATTTACAAAAAGTCACTCAAATAAAATATTTCCATTTTATTCACCCTATATAAAATAATTTAAAATTCGTTTTATTCCCCGTCATGTAGGGCCAAAAACAATACATTTAATATATAATACTATTACATAGTCATTTATCGTAAAATTTGTTTTTGATTAATCCTCTACATTATTAATGGGAAGAGAAGTATCATGGCACCATTTTTTCTTAATTTGCCATAATATAAACGTATAAAAAAATTATAATAAATAAATTCATTAACATATAACCAATAAACATTAAAGATAAGTACAAATTATAAAAATATAAATTAAATAAAACCTTCTCCTTATAACTTAATACAGTACAACTTCATACTAATGAATTACTTTTAAACAATTTTAATTTAATTTAAAAATTAAGAGTGTTGTTACAGGAATGATTATACTAAGAAATGAATAAAAATATTAAAAAAAGCCAAAATTATAATATTAATAATTTCTTACATATAGGAACCGAAACAGTCTTTTTTAGATTATTTAACAATTTTTCACACCAATTCTTTGTAATAATAATGCGGGAAAAGGGTAGTTTTTTAATGAATTACTTAAAAAAAAAAGAAACAATGAAAGATAAAAAAAAATATAATTAATATTCGACTAGTTTATTTGTTAGTTATTTATACAGAAGTATAAAATTTATTTGGGTAAAAATTTGGCTAGAAATTATATATTATGTACTAAGAGAATACATGTTTTTGTGTACAGTTTTATCTAATAATAATAATTCTAATTTTATACAAACATTTGGTAAGAAAAAAAAATAATTTTAATAATTAATAAAAAATATAAATAATAATAATGAACAATTGCTGTAGTATCTACTATAAACCACTGTGTACTGTGTTTTCTTTTTGGTTATCTTGATGATTTTCAAGCACAGTATTATGACTTAAGCCACCTCCACCACCTGGACAATGTTGTTCAAATGGTTGTGATCCAACAAAACAACAATCTTCTTCTACAACCACACTACTAGTATTCCTACTATGGTTGTTGGTTGAATGATATCTTTTGGGTCTTCCAACATCCCATGTAACTGTAGTTGTAGCTGTTTGTTGATGCTGTTGAAGTCTTTTTCTTTTGGTCGTTGTTCTGGTAATTTTACCTACCACTGTCACCTGTGATGATGGCAGTGATGTTAAACACGAAGATGTTAAATTATACGCAGCACCTGACTTCTTAGTTTTGCTTACTGTCGTTTTCTTTTGACTTGATGCTGCAGGACTTCTACCAGAGGTTGACAATAATTTCATACGATTATTACGTGTTGATATCACACATTTCAATTTACCTGTACTAGACTGTTGCTGGACATTTTCTTTTTGCTGTTCAGAAGACGATGATGTTTGGTTTTGACAATGCTGTTGTAACATCTGTAATTTTAATCTTTGTCTTCGACCAATACTTCCTACAGGTCTTCCACACCTTCGTTTTACAACCGTACTTGGTGTGTCAGTTGTTACTGATACTATTGCTGCAGTTTTATTTTGAGCAGGTATACGTTGTTTTCTTGGTTTTCTAACTTTTTTTACTTTAATAGTGGTAGTACTACTGGTATTGCTACTTGCTGATGTACCATTACTACTCACACTATTGTTACGATGTATTGGAGTTTTATTTTTTTTAATAGGGCCAGGACGTCGACCTGGACGACCTGGACGACCTGGGCGCCCTGGTCTTCGACCTCTTTGCTTAGGCGAAGTGGCTCTCACCTTAACCTTGGATTTTTCTTTGAGTAACTGCTGCTGCTCTAATTTTATACGTTTACGTCTGAGCCTCTGTTGTTCTGCTGCTACCGCTCTTCGGCGTTTAGCAATATCATCTCTCTCTGCATCACTATCATCATTTTGATCTTCTGCAGCTGTATTTAAAGATGATGTAATAGCTATAATTTTTCGACGTTTTTCTTTTGGCCAACCAGTCATATTTGGCCGTTTTTTCTTTCGCTTGTTCGATGCTGTTATCATGTCTGTACATAAATCGGAAGACAAAGTTTCACCATAATTGTTTGTTAAACGTTCAGTCAGAGCTAATTCACGTTGTTGATAATACATTTGCAAAGTTTCATCTGTTAAATTAGTATATAAAAACCTCTTGTCAGCAGTTTGTTCATACATTATTTGTAAACACATATTATCAGGTTCTCGGTTATTATCAGTAATTTGAGACCAAATTTGGTCTTGATCACTTTCAAGTGGTAATATTATTGCATTATTTGAGAACTGGTAGTCTTCTTTATTTTCATCATTAGTTGGTATAATCTCTTGGGCTATTTTGCGACGGTTTTGTTCAGCTATTTCTTGTACTTTGAGTAATTGTTGACATACAAAAGATGCACGTAATCTCTCATCCCGTGCTCGTCTCCTTACTACATCCACATGTTTAGTACGCAATTTCACTCTTTCTTGATCTATAGCTGTATTCATAGAAATTCGCTGAGGAGCTGGTTGTTGAGCACACAATTTAGGAGGAGGTGGAGTAGTTGAACGACGGCGACGACGACGACGTTTAATGATACGTTTGTTATCTAATTGTCGACGATGTCTATGATGACGAAATGCTGACATGGGTTCATAATTATGCATAGACATCTTCAATAAACATGGAACATCCATGTCTAAAGAATTTTGGTTTGTTTCTACATCCGCCTCTAGATTATCAGGCTGTTGATTTTCGACTTTATCAAGTTTTCCAGCTTTACTTGACAGAATTGCAGCTAATGTAGATGCATGTTGACGAGGTGACTTCCGTGGACTGTTAGATTTTATAACAGCTTGCAATAGCTTGTTTTTTTTACCAGGAGGTCGACCTTTTTGTCGTTTCACAGTAGTTGTTGACGTTGAAAGATGTCTTGCACTACCTGACACTTCAACAGGAGCTATTGCTGTTGATTTACAAGCACTGCCACGTCTTTGCACAACTGATGTTTGATACTTTTTTAATGCAGAATTTGTTTTTAATGATGTTGATACCATACTATTGTTAGATTTACTGATGGCTCCCCCAGAAATTAATCTTATTTTACGTAACGCTTCTTTAGATGTTTTTTTTTGAACATGACCTGTGAGAGATGTTGCTGAATATTCCCAACTTGTTGGCCAATAAGTGCGACCATATAAAATTGAATGACAATTTGAAGAGGATGACTTCAAACCAGTATATTGTCTGTAAGGTTCAAAAATATTACAACCAGCTAAGAAACCGTATTTGACCACATCAGAGTCTGATTTATCTGGCAGTGAAGATTTCTCTATTTCATTTTTTTCAACTAATAAATCTTTAGAATCATCAGACTTAAGGATACGCTTTTCAGCAACAGTTTCTTCAATATCTTGTTGTTTCCTTTTACGACTATTACTTTTCTTTTTAAGTGATGTTTCTACAATAACACAATCTTCATTTTTATCAATTTCTGGTGATATTACTGAATGCGTATTATCTGTAACAGCTTTAATGTAGGGGACAATCTTTTCACTATTTACTTGGTCATTGTCATAACTTTTAATACCGTTACATTCATTTATTAACTTTTGTTTTTGCTGCAAACGTTCCAAACCAATTGCTGCTGATTCTACTTCAGTAGTTGATGTGGTTAAATCACAGACTTTACTCTCTTCTGACAGTTTACTAGCCGCTTGTTGCTGTGCTTTTTTATCAGCAATACGTTTGAGATTTTTTCGTCTTGGAGGTCGACCACGACGTCTAGGAGTAGGAGTAGTAATTGATGAAGTAGAACAATTAGGTTGTGCAGAATTTGATCCAGAAACAGTTGAATGGTGCAATGGTGTAGGTGCTACTGTTGATGATATAGTCCTCGTGCGTAAACTGAGGCCTGATGAATCATAATGAACCTTGTCACAATTTGTCTGCTTTTCATGTTCCTCAACAGTTGTGTGCTGCTGTCCATTTAATAAAATATCTTTTGTTTTTTTGTCAATCACCTGAGTAAAGAGGAAAAATAAAATTATTAATCCTAAGTATAAGTGTAATTATGATAACTGTACTCATTTTTTTGTTAATACGTATAGCAATTATTTATGTTTACTTAGGGACAGAATTAGAGTATAAAAAAAATACATAAAAATGTGCATATTTTATTAATTTATTTTTTCTAATTTATTTAACATAATTTAATTTATAAATTTATAAAATATAAATTATAATATGATATAAAAATGATTCAATAATCATCATGCATACAATTTAGTTTTATAATTTGTAACCAAGATGCATTTTTAGGCTCTCATTTCAACTTTGAATTTCTTTATAAGAACATTTTTTTTCTTTTTTTCTTTAATTTAAGATACAAGATATATAAATTAATTAAATAATGATTAAAAACAAACATAATCCCACTCTTGATCTATAAAAAAAAAAACAAGTTTTCCGATATTATAGAATCGAAAGACAAAAATAATCCATGGTTAATTAGTAAATAAAATTAAGTAATCAAAATCAAACAAAGTTTAAAAATTTTGATTATACATACAGTAGAACCTCAATTATCTAAAACTAATCAGGACTACACTGAGCTCGAATAGAAATTAAAAAAGAAGTTAGTTTTTAACAGACTAATTATATACATAATACAAAAATAATATATTTGTCCAGTATACAACACTTATTAATAAGCTAGCCACACATGAATGTCGCTAAAATAAACATTATTAAATTACACACATGTACATATTATAATGTACTAATAATTAACTGCGACCGGACGTGTGTCATAATATTTTACACATTAAGTATTAACGTTTGGATACATGAATTGAAATGAAATAACGTTCGGATAACAGAGGGTTTGTATAACGGAGGTTTGGATAATCAAAGTTCTACTATAACATGTTTGTAAAAAATAATATACAATATTTATGTAAGCAAGATATTTAAAAAAGCATAGTACCTAGATATAATAAACAAATTTAAAAAAAAGGATAACTAGAAATGCGTAATGGAAAAATAAAATATTATATTTCTAAGCCAAATAAACATATGCATGGTTAAAATTATATTTTATTTTACTTTATTAGCTTAAAAAAGTTAAGAAACACCACAAAATTTGTTAAAAAAAAATTATTAAAATGTATCTAATATAAATTAAATGATAATTGTTTATATTTATCCTTAATGGTGAATACTCCTTGTTAATTTAAGTAATACTGAACAAGTTGTGTTAACATTCATTATTTCTAAATAGATGGAAATGTTTTATATTAATTCAAATGTATTGATACCATAATATAATGACATTTTTTTTCTTATTTAATGCAACTACTCACTAAACACAATATTGATAATATAGTGAATGTAATTTTAAGCTATGACGATTCCACAGAACGACGCAACGTCATGGTTAGGTATCACATAAAATTTCATCATACCTAATTAATTTACTATGCACCAAGTAATAATAATAAACCAAAATGTCTATAATGAAAAAATGTGCATTTACATATCTATCATACAAATCTTATAACTAGTGTATACACGAGTTCAATTTAAAACTATAAGAATAATAGAATTTCATTAAATTTGTTTTCAATATATTAATTAATAAAGATACAACTAAAACTATTACAATATAATTAAAAATTGATTATAATTTCCACATTTGCAAATTAAGCGTTAATGAATTTAAAATCCAAACTTCATAACTTTAAACTTAATTTTATTAAAAATGCATACCATTTTTATTAGGTCTAACTGTTTCTAACTGTTAATTGTCTAGTAATTTAAGATTTATAAACAAATAAGTAAACAAATTACAATACAAAGGAACAGTGGTTTCTATTACCATTCTTCATAGATAAAGTTACAATGAATCTCCACGTTCGTTTTATCTATTTTATCAAATTTGTATGAAAAACAAGTGCACAATATTTTCTGGTTGCAAAAAAAAAAAAAAAAATGTCACTATAAACATCTGCATTAATATTTGTGGATCGCTTAAAATTATTCATAAAAAAAGTACTCAAAAACCTAATCTTTAATTAGCTAGACAAACCTACCTGGTTAAAATTACTTAAATAACAAGTTATTTACAACAATTATAAATAATAACATTATTATTTACCTCTGTAACATGAGTTATTGTAGATGGTGAAGATTTTGTATTTGTTATCATAATAGCGTCATTGGTGATGTGTTCTTTTCCAGCTGCCGAGTCTCTAGTCGAAGCTACAGAATTATTACTAGTGGAATTGCTGACTACAGTTGAATTAGAAGGGTTTCGTATTTTCGTGTGTTGGGCTGCACTATTTACCATTTCTCTAATCACGTCATCGAAGCAATTATCAATAACTACAACTAATTCTTTTTTGAAAAGATCACTTGTTAAAATTTTAGATTTTTCAGCAAATGATAATTCTCCTTTAAAACTCTTTGCGCTTTTTTGTTCTTTAGAAAATTTAGCTTGTTCTAGTTTATCATGATTTACGCTATTTAAATTAGATTTAAGAACTCGTAATTTAGGTGATGAACGAGCACAAGTCAATTTTGGTTTTTTCTCTAAAGGCAAATTACTTTTTTTCACGACTATGTCCTTCTCCAGTGATTGAGTGTTGATCCCTTCATTGTTTTGAAATGTATGGGCATTTCTATTAGAAATAAAATTTCCCATACTAAATAAATTAAGTGTATTAGAAAGTTGATAGAACACTGAAATTGATTACTTACTGTGGTTGGTTGGTAATAGTAGGTGGAGGAGGATTTTGTCGGATCAAGTGATTTACGTCTTCAGGCGCAAGTCTATGTAACAAAACAAGTGGCTCATATGGCATTTGATATGATTGATGTCACAGTTTTCGTTAAACATGAAGGTATCTCCTAAAAACAGAATTTAACACAAGTGTAACTACATGAAATCTAACCAAAATCTACATCTATACAGACACAGCAAAATAATCTTTGTAATGATACTAAAATTGATCTAATGGCTGAGAAACAATTGGAAAGTCGAGAATATGCATTCGTGCAGAGGGGACCCCCTTTCCCTTTACAAGACGTTAAAAGTTTCAAATGTAAAGGAGAAGGACGCGGTTTTATCGTGAACGCGGCAAACGACTACAAGCGGTCGCTTGGAGGAATTCGCCTGGAGGTACCTATTGATGGTGGAGGGGCGGCATTGAGAGGTGAAACAGGACGTCGGACTTACGGGCAAGGTACCGCTGGACGGTGGCTCGGAAACGGCGGAAAACGCGGTTTACTCGGCGGTGCGGAAAGTGGCGGTCGTTCGGACGATGGCGTCGAAAGACTGGCTCGCAAACAAACGTCTTCGTGTAGCTTCTTATTGGTGGCGCAAACGTGGCGTCGCTAATGTCGGCGCGGGAACGTTGTGGCGGCAACGGTGACGACGAACTACGACAGCGGCGGTGGCGGCGGCGTCGACGACGGCCCGTCGCGTTGAGACCGCAGCGACAGAGGTAGTGGCGGCGGCGACGGCAGCTGCCGCCATAATCGATACACACAAAGACAACTGCACCAAACGTCGTCAGTTCGTGGAACGGCGGACGGCTGAGGTATTTGTTCGGTTCTCGACGCTTGTGACCAGCGTCGTCACCGATCCGAAACAATGGACGACGACGGCTGTGACCGACACTTATACGGGCGCAGCGGAATGCGGACGCGCACACACGGTTCGCGGTCGACGGCTAAAACACGTCTACTGTTGTCGTGTCGGCGTACGGTGGGCGACGAACGTTGCTGTGTGCGTTTAAGCGTACACCGGTTACGGTGTTACGAGCGACTGCGATCGACGTTTGAACGTCATACACGGCACCTCGACGACTGAGAGCGAAATCGAAAATAAACGCCGAAAACCACGACGACGATAGTAATATTATGTACACCGATAACGCGATAATAATAATAGTAATAATTATTATTGTCTTCTAAAAATAATAGTAATAGTAGTAATAATAATAATAATAATAATAATAGCGGTAACGCTGAACCGGTTAACCAGCCACGACGACGATAGTAATATTAGTACACCGATAACGCGATAATAATAATAGTAATATTGTATCTTAAAAATATGTTAGTAGTAATAATAATATAATAATAATAGTAATAGCTGCGGCAATCGAAACACGACGTGAAGGTACCTATTCGATACTCGTGATAATAATGTAATTAATAACAACACTACTCTCGTCGGCGGCGGCGGCGTGGCGGCACGACTACGACCGACAGAGCGGTGGGGGTACCGGCCGCGGTGTGCTGCTGGCGAACGGGCCGCTGCGGTGATATCCGCCGGCGGGGACAGGGGTCGGTGCAAAGGTAACCGAAACAACGCGACGACCGTTGTGGACGCGTCGTCGCCGATGGATGTGTAGATGGGAGGGCGCGCGCGCGCGCGGCGGGCGCGATCGTGCGACGTGCGTGCGTGCGTGCGTGACAATGTGCGTGCGCGAGTGCGTGCGCGTGTGTGAGCTACGGGCGGGGGCGAGAGGCGGGGAGGACGCGGAGCTGCAGTGGAAGTGCTGCATGCAGGCCGCCGCCGCCGGCTCTGGCCGTCCGGATTGGCCGCCGCCGCGATCGACGGGCGCGCGCGCATCGCTCACACACGACGCGCGCGCGCACGCACCGCGTAACGCACGCGGACGGGCGACACAATCCATATAACGTGCCGCGGCGGAACAAAATACGAAATCGCGTTGAACGTAGAAAAATAAATCGTATATACGTACCGTACGTCAAACCTTTCCATGAGTCGGTTTCTGTTTTCTCTCTCTCTTCTCTCTCTTTCACTTCGTCCGCCTCGACGGTGTTGTTATATGTATTATTTATATTTATTTTTGC